ATTACTGTTTTGAAAAAAAAAATAAAAATTTGCAATCTTTTTCTTCATTTTCTACAATATAATGATTTATAAAAACCACCTAATAGTTAGTCAATCCAAACAATTTTATCTACTGATTTTTCTTGTCAAAAACTGACCCATCCTAACGCATTTATATTTAACGTATACATAATCGCCAAAAACTTACTAATATGCACACAATATTCTACATATATATAAACACATTATTATGGCAGTCCATGCCACGTTTTCTTTAGATTTTTTTTTTCATATGTCAAATTGCTATACTTTTTAACGAGATTGTTCTCAGTGTTGGTGTGTATTAATTGGCAAACATTGCTTTTTGTATAATGTTGTTTTTATTATTATTTTTCTGTTATTTAATTTTTTGCGGCTTTTACGCAGTAAGAAAAAGCACACATTGGACTTTTGCAGTTTTTAGCTCCTCTTCTGGCATTTACTATGTTATTTTTAACTGTTAACTGACGTCAACTGATTGGATTATGAAATGAAACTAAAAACTGTCTATCATTTTTCATGTGATTCATGCGATTAGGAAAAAAATAAATTTTTTGCTTATGAGACGCAATAGAAATGAGCTTAGTCTAGTTGATTGATAGCGTTATGTTGAAGTGCGGTTTAGGCCCCGCTTCATGAGCAATTGATTTGAATGAATAATTGTATTTTTATTTGCATCGTATTTATTGACTTGTTAATGTCAATAAATGTCACAATATGTGCGTGATACATTTCAAAATAAAAGCCGGTTCGCAGGAGTGCTTTGAGGTTATGCATATGCTCGAATTAGTTATTATAGAAGTTACGAAAGTAAAAGTATACTAAAATCGAAGTGATGAACTTTTGTTCGAAATATAGTCTTCATAACAATGTTATATTATTAATATTGCTCTAAAACAAAGTTATTTCAATGTAAATCTAAAAAATAGTATAAATTCATGTTATGTGAATAAGTGGTATAATCTATAATTTTGTAAAGTTTACAGCTGTGCTCAAAATCATCATTTTTATCATCTTTTCAGTTTCTGTATTCGTTTAAAATCGATCATTGTTGATTTATTTTTTGTTTCTGATCCAATAATCGATTATAACGATAAATTTTCGACTTTGGTGCACTAAGCACTTGAAATTAATTGTATCTAAAACTTTTTTTTTGATGAGGTAGCTTTACTATTTGGTGTGAATTATCGATAACACTTCAATCTCAGAGCAAATTGTTTAGATCGGACCAATACCAAATGGCTATCAGGCAAGCGGATCGAACCAAATCAAGTGCTTGTACAGAAACATTTGAGCAAACGAATTTATATTTTATTTTTATGTAATAATAATTAATTTTTTGTTTAATTACGAAAAAATATTTTAATCTAACTTTTTGAATAATTTATGGAAGTCAAATTTCATACCATAATTGTAAGTCTCTCTAACTCGGGGCTTTTGTGGATTATGGTGCTTCGAGTTATCGAAGTTCAACTGTAGCTAAATTTATAAAAATTACGTGTCACGTTTAGTCCAGGGTAAGCTTCTAAGTTATTGAAGCGAATTTAGTGAAATTGAGCACAATGTGTCTAGTTTGATTCAACTTAAGGGGTTAGGGGTAGTCAGAGGCACGAAAAATGACAATTTTCAGTATTTTATTTTTTTTTGCTATTAAATCGTGTTATTTTATAAATGTAGTAATATGGCGTTATTGTCGAATGTGTTGACTTGGAAGTCACGAAAATTTCAAACAAAAAAATAATAATTTCCAAAGTTATAATCGTTTGCGTTGACCCTGTTCCAAAAATAGGTGCTTGTGGTGACAACTATAAGTTCTTGGAGATTCATCTAAAATCAATCGGACGAAAAAAATTTGTTTTATAAATAGATAATCCTGGGTCTGATCGAAGGATTCTTTGTTTTTTCAAATTTTAACAAAATGGCGCCCTCAGGAATTTTTTTTCTAAATTTTTGGGAAAAAATCGAACAGTTAATTGGTCTTAAAGAAGCGAAATTTATTAGGTATTGTAAAAGCTGTATAAATTTCATTAAAATTTACTGAGCGGTTTTCGAGTTACAGTTGTCACCAGTTCAAAAAATATAGTTTGGAGAAAAACGCGTTTAAAGTTCCACACTGGCACTTTGAAGTGCTCGAGCTCTCTTTGTTATTTGTCGAATAACTCAAAAACTAATTATCGGATCAACGTGAAATTTTCAGCGAAAATTTCTAAGATATTACATTTAGCGAAAATGCAAAAAAAAACTTTTTTTTGAAAATGCTGACTACCCCCAACCCCTTAAAAGATTAAAGATTAGTTTATTTGTCAATTAGTTAAAAGTCAAAGCATAAAAAATTAAACTCTTAAGCTTAAGTAATTTTTCGAAATAAAAAAAAAAAAATATTATTATTTAGAAATTGACAAATGTATCGCAATTTTCAGACTTTATGTTTAATTCGGGAAAAAGTTCACCACCTGTCTCTTATACACATCTTTTTTGCAATTTTTAATTTTTTAAATTTATATTAATTATTATTTATTTTAACCTACATTTTTGAAAATTTATTTTAATAACTTTTCACAATTAAAATTGCACTCATTCCAAAGTCGTTCATATGTATGCCTTCCAACTAAAAACGCAGTAGTTATACATATTATTCGATTAGAACTTTCTAGACTCATTACGCTTATAAATTGCTCATTTCTTAGGAATAGTGTCGTAAAAATTATTGTACAATACAAAATGCACTTTACACTCCATAAATTTAATCTAGAAAGTTTGCTTTGAGGCAGCGATGAGTTAACAAGAGAATATTTGTACATACTTATGTACAACTCTATATGCATATTATGTATATTTTTTGTATAACTGTATATAAAATTAAATTCAACCGGCCGCAATTGATTTAGCGGAGTAGAACTGATAAAAAATTGCAACAAATAGTAACTAAACTCAAACAAAAACAATTCAAGTATATGTTAACAGTTCTGGGTAGTGTGGGCTGTTTCTGCTTTGAATTATACATGTACATATACCTATGTATATGTATAGGTATACGTGCGGCTATAAATATTTTTCTGCTGGTTATATAGATAAGCAGTGAAATAATAATTGCAAAATGAGAAAATATAGAGCAGCTTTGATACATATGAATTTACATACATATGTATATATACTATGCATATGCATGTACATATGTATAGGTGTATATATATATGCTAGTAATAATACTACTATAAGCAAAAAAACAGTAAGACTTTGTTCATAATTTTAAATTTCTTTATTTATACTAAAAAATCTAGGTAATCCCCCTTGGCCCCAATACACTTGGGCCAACGTTTTATACAATCTTTGAAACAGTTGTTATAGTAAATTTTCAGAATAGCCTTCAAGGCGCTTAACGAAGCACGTTTTATGGCTTAAATTGACTCAAAACGCTTTCCCCGGAGCGGCCGTTTGAGCTTGCTAAATAGCCAGAAATCACGGGGAGTTAAATCAGGTGAATACGGTGATTGCGGCACGATATTGGTTGAAAATTTGGCGAAAAACTCACGAAGAATCAATGCAATTTGCGACAGTGCATTATCGTGGTGCAAAAACCAGGAGTTGTCGGCTCATAATTCCGACTTCTTTTTATGAATAGCTTCACGCAAACGACGCATAACACTCAAATAATATTCTTTGTGGACAGTTTGGCCGGTCGAAAGGAGTTCGTAGTGCACTAAATCTCGTTAATCGAAGAAAACTGTCAGCCTAACCTTCATTTTCGCCCTGTTTTGAGTGGATTTTTCGGCTTCTGCTCATATCGGGAGTCGGAAAGCATTGTTTCACAGACGTTAACGCGACGTTGGTTTTCGCAAATATTTAATGATTTTGAAACCAATCGTGCTTTCACTTTTCTTAGGACCAAATGATCTTTTAAAATGATTTTCACTGATTCTTTTGATATTCTAATGATGCCAGTAAGATCTCTGACTGTTAACCGTCGATTCTCAGATACCAAGACCCGAACATAACCTCTCTATACAGCTATGTATATAAATTAACCTTATTGTTATAATTTTTGACTAAAAAGATCATTATAAGGGAGGGGTCGGGATATACATAAGTACATATGTACATATGTATATAATGCAGAAATAGACAATTTTTGTTTCTTTGAGGACTACTTAAATGTGTTCAAAATTTTTTATTTTAATTTTCTTTATTCACAAAAAATTTATTATATTTTTATAAAATGACAGTTATTTCATAACAGTTGTTAATGGTGAGTTTTGCTTAACTCTAGCGCAACAAAGTTTGAAGAGTAAGCCTTTTGTATTGCTTTTGCAATCTGAAAATAGAGTGAGAATATCCTTTGCAATGCACCTTTATTGAGTTATAAAAATCAGAATGTAAGGATTGGTTTGTAAGGAAAGAATATACATTGAAAAATTGTTATTAAAATTGGTTTTTTGCCCATTTCCTCATAATTGTTTACGGTCTCTGTTTTCATATAGTAAATACATTTTTTGCAGAAAATTACTTCTTTCGACAATTCTATTCATGAATTTCTATAAAAGAACTGAAATTCAAATATGACTGATAAAATCTTTGTGGCAGTGATTAGTCTTCATAGACGCGCACTTGAACTTTGCTTCGGGAAATCCAAAGTTTTCAGTTTGAGTGTTATTTGTATGAAATTGTGGCGCCATAAACGATTTCAGCGATTTATTAAGCATTTATTAGCAATAAAGGTGATAATTTATTAAACTCGGCTGAGAAAAATATAACATGTGATAAGTTTTACGTATATGCCTAACAAATCCGTTCGTAATCACCACCAGCTTAAATAGAAATAAAATCGTGTATATTAATTTTAAACCACCAGCACAAACAAACATACAACAGTAAAGGTGGAAATTTTAATTTAGGCGCTAAATTATATGTTCACATTAATCTAACACTTTCGCATTCTCTTTTATAGGCCGCAATCGCGTTTTCAACTGGGCGCTCAACGCCGCCGAGGATTGCGTTTCGCGCGCCGTCGTCACCGCCGCACCGATTGTCTCGAAACTGGATCGTCCCATACAGTATGTCGATCAGACGCTCGTCAAAGGCATTGACAAGCTGGAAGTGTCCGCACCCATTATCAAGGACACACCACAGGAAATTTACAATCAAGCTAAAAACAAAGTGGTCGAAGTCGTGCAGCCACATATTGAACGCGTGACGAAATTCAAAACTGCTGGCCAACAGAAAGCGGCCTCTTTGAAGGATTTGGCGTGGGCCAAGGCTAATGAGGTGCTGGCTACGCAGTATGGCAGTCTGGCGGTTTCGGGCGTTGATACCACAACCGCTTTGGCGGAGCGTCTGCTCGAATACTATTTCCCCAAAAGCGAAGGCGATGTCGAAGAGGAGAATGGTGAGTGTAGACAATTTGCATTGTTGTTGTAGAAAATTAAAGCGCTTGTCTTTAATACTAATAATCATTTTTGACATCACATGCTAACGCAAAGATTATGCTTATGAAAGTAAATACATTTTTTTTGAACATTATACGTAGTATTATTAAAAGATTTGCAGGAAAAGTATGAAATAATGTCTTGTTGATTGAGTAGTTGCCATCGCACAGCTTAGTACATCTTTGGTTAGGGCTATGTTAAGGAATTTATTTAATTTCAGTTTTTTGTTTACAATAATTTAAAATTTCTTCGCTTGACATGAAGTATGAATTGGTGATTACCGTATGCCATTTTATATTTAAAACCTGAACAGATATACCCACAGTTTTTTTACATATGGCTCTGAAATTTTGCTTAAGTCCATAAGCTACTGCTACTCAACCCACTATAGCTTTGAATTGTCATACAAACTGAAAATCCAGTAATTGCATAAAAAATTTCTTTGTTTTACAAGATGTTTTCTCGAAATTTTAAAGGGATTAGAAGGAAGGAAGAAAGCAGCATAATATCCGAGAAAATTGTTCAGAACGGATCACTACAGCATATAGCTGTCATACAAACTGAGCGATCAAAATCCAGTCTTTTTAGGGAAAACCTTTATATCTAGCGAGATCGGCACTAATTTAGTAGAAAAACTATGTCACTATATGTAGCATATAGCTGTCATACAAACTGAGCAACCAAAATCATGTTACAGATCTTTTTATACCATTTTATGCTATACAAAATGCACCTGTAAAGGGAATAATAGCTAAAGCATTTTCTTAGTAATATTTTTTTATTTTTTTCTGTCAAAAATATGTCACACAAAATAGTTTGCTTCATACATTTTTAAAATTCCTATATTGTATATTTTAAATTTCAATTAATATAGATTTAAATTTGTATTTCAAATATGTATTAATATGGTACTTGGTTCAAGTTTCAGAGAGAAATATAAGTGATAATTTTACTGCTCTACCTAAGATATAACCAGCTGTAAAGATTAACATGTTAGAAAGCTTTGACTAACCTAATTTTTTTTTTGTTTTTTACATATTTAAATTATAGATTTATATATTTATTTTTTTTTCAGTTTAAATAAAATAGTATTAAAGTGTTTAAATTTATGGTTTTTCAATCATTTTTCTTTCTCTAAACAAATTTCTTGTAAATATTTTTTAACAATTTTTCTATTTAAACAAAATGGTATTAACTTTTTTATTAATTTTATATTTTTTCACTAATATCATCTCATTTATTGCACATCCTTTCGATTTTTAATTGATATTATTTGTACGCCTTTTTTCTTGCACCTTTAACTCTCCGCACTTAATCAAATGCCTTCTCTCTTTCCTTTTTAGTTTATAAAACTCAATTAACTATCAAAAGCCGTTAAACCACCCTATAACTAATAAAAAAAATTCAATATAACAATCATCAACGCATCGTTAAAATCAATCAATGCTAATAATTAAGCGCATTTAATAGAATTGTATGTGGTGACTGCGGGTACTGACTGCCTTTACTGTACGACAATAAATTTATATCGTTAAATAATTTCTTTTCTCAGATAATAAACAAATTGCTGTCGCGCAAAATGGCAAGCACATTGAAAATGACAGTAAGTTGAATTATTTCTCCCATATTTTTTTGGCATGCAAATTTTAATAACAATTTCGAGAACTAAAAACAGTACATATGTACACATACATACATACAAATAACAATATACATATATGCACATATGCAAGTACATACATACATATGTATGTATATGGTCGTCTGTTTAACGTCATATGCATGCCATTTACTAACTGTGTTTAATTTTAAAATCAAAACAAATTAATAACGTTTACAAATCGTCTGTTTGTATAACATAAATACCCCTACAAATCGCATGTCAGCTGACTTCAAGTCGAAACAGCTGATTGCTCTTTATAACTGTAAGGTTTCTCGCCTAAAGGCAAACATCCATAACGGCTTATTTTGCTCGTGAATTCATAACAGCTGCTTACTCTCTATAACTAGCAGACCTCTGCTGAAGTGAGTGAGTGTCAGTAACGGTTAGATTTTCTACTTAATTATTATACTCAGAAATTTTTTTTATTTTTATTGAAAAAATTCCAAATTTCAAATCACTATGTTTAATCGCATAATCGAGATAATCAAACTTTGTCGCAGAAATTTTCAAAGTTTGAAAAGTGAACTTTCTGAATATGTGACAATTATTTTTGAGAAGCGAAAATTAGTTGGTGAAATTTCAGTTTGAGTGAAGAAGCGAAAATTCCTTTGTTAAATGTATGGGAACCGAAAAAAATAGTGACTCCTTAGAGTTAAGCTATAGCGCCTGGCCTGAGAGAGGATTTTTTGTCTCTCAATCACTAACATTTGAGGGGGTAAGAGTTGAAAAAAAAAAATTCCTAAATTTTTTTGACGCATCCTAATAAATACAATACTTCCACAATAAATTTTTGTTCAAATTAAATAAGAAAATTAAAATGTTTTTGTAGAACCCTTCATTATAATTTTAAGGATTGCGAATACATATATTATCTACTAGAAATTATATTCCCAATAGCCTCATAAAGCCTCCTTTCTTTTATCATTACTATTCTCCCTTAAAAGTGGGTACTCTCTTTCCTTACCACTCATTCATGCATAATTTTAATTTTATTTGGTTTATTTTCTGTATGAAAAACTCTCACACCCTTACTCTCTCTCTCTTTTACTTGTAGTCGATCAACAAGACGTTGAACTCGATCTAAGATTCTTAGTAGCTGCCTCCACTGTTTTCCTATCCATGTCGTTCCGCATAATTAGCGAACTTTTAGACTATGTTAGTCGAAATCCTGAAGTAATAAATTTAATCAATAGGGAAATTAACAATTTTATGGTAAGATAACTTATAACCGGTAATAGATAGATAACTTATCTAGGTAATTGCATAATACTGTTATAACAAATATTATTAACATTATTGAAAATATAATTTATTAAAATATTAAAGAATTTTATAAGCTTCAAGAGTCGACTCATGAATTCATTTATTAATGTACACAGTTTATGAATTTAAGTTATGTGTAAAAAGTTTTCGACTGTGATTTCTTAGCAATGTCATAAAGGCAATAAGAAATGTGTGTTTATTAATATGCTCAGCTATGAAATTTCAAAAAAGTATTATAAGTTCTCTTCATAAAGTTCGAAATGCAGGAAATACCTCAAATAGCTGATTATCTTGGTTTAAAAGTTGAGAAAAGCACAAAGAAAGTGTAAAAGCGAAAATACATACTTTATTTGAAAACTCAATTTTAATCAATTTTCTACTTTTTTCAATGGCTTCTGCAAAAAAATATTGTCCGGCTTCCTTTTATTTGGCAAAAACAGATCAACATAACTCTGTATAGACTTGTATACCTTGCAGAAAATCCAGTAGCTGATTTTCTCTTGCTGGAGAAATGTTCAGCTGACTATCAATTTATGTACGTCCTCAGTAGCCTCACTCTAACTTGCTCTCTGACAAACCCTATTTTTGACAAAAAATGCAGCAGCTGCCGTTAGGAGTGGACCCTTGATATTAACAGGTCTGCTCACTATACTTATACTTTCGGGGGCACCGTAAAATTGTAAAATCAATAAGTTATCATTATCATCGATTTTTTCCATAATACGTCTCATTCAAAAAAATAAAATTTTTGGATGCTCAAGTCAAATACTAGACCTATCACGTGGTTTATCGGTAATAACAATTAATTCATCAGCGAAAGTTTTATTTAATTTGCTCTCATCACGCTACACAAAAACTAAAGCGCTGTTTAAAAACATCATTTTGGTCAATTGTTGATGTCATAGTTAATTTTATTTATATATTCTGAATATTTGTCAACTTATTCTAAATATTAGTATTTTTCTTTCCCATTACAGTACCAGTTTCCGCCACCGAGGACCCTGTACTCCACACAGTACAGACTGTTGGCCGACTCTCCCACAAGATCTCGCGTCGTGTCTATCAGAACGTGTCCAGACAAATCAAGCGAATGCAAAAAGGAAATATAAATGATTATCTGAGCTCACTCATCGCCGCATTGAAATTGCATCAATACATAAATTTCATCAACTCATCGATGGGCACAAATGTCGAGCAGTCCATTGCCGACGTTAGTGCCAACAGCAATAACACAAACGTTGCTACGGCGAATAACAGCAACAAGACTACACCAACAACATCAACGGCTGTAGCGGCGGCACCGGCACTGGCACTGGCACCGGCGGCGCCAACCACGCCCACAACTGCGTCGTCCGCTTCGCCAAACGCCTCATCGGCGACAAAACGTAGCAACCAAAACAAGTCGCCGAATTCAACGCCGCCAAAGGCGAACTGAACCATAAAAAATGAATCAAATACAAAAATAATATATAAAAATTATTAAATAATTTACAAAATAATAATACTTGAATTGAGTAGAATTTAAAGCAAATGAATGCGCGTAAATATTTTATGAAAATTTATATTTTAAAAATATTTTTTATGCAAAAGTCAGCAGCAAGCGTTGAAGAAGTTTTCCTTTAAAAATTATATAAATATTTTTTTAATGTGTGAAAGTGTTATTAATTAAAGATGGAATTAGGCGCCATATATGGGAGGGCCTCTATGGCTTGGCGCATACGAAGAAGAAATAGAAAAAACAAAACTCCACACATAATTGCAAAAGCACTACAGCGCCTAATCTTCCACACACATACATATATATATTTGTATATTTGTCTATTTTAGGCGTTAAGCTTTTAATTTAAACAATTAGTTATTGTATATGATAATTATAAACAAATATTTGTAGTTTAGCTGCGCTAATGATACATAAATATAATACATATTTACATTGCTTAAGTACATACATACTTACACGCATAAACTTTCACACATTTTCGTTTGAAATATGTTTTTTCCAACTACATATTTTTATGAGAGAAATTATCATCAAGAATTTTAACTACATACATATGTATAACTTCATATACTTACTTATATGTACATATATACGAGTATAATTAAATAATGATTATATGAATATACATTACAATAATTATGTTGAAATAATAAAGAAGTGAAGTACATAAGAAAACAAATGATTGAATGCATGTTTTTATTTGTGTTGTTGGGAAATTAGTAAAGTCCATTGTTTCGAAAAAAATTATTTTTAAAGTAAATTCCTAACAAGAAAGAACGTTAACTATGGTTGCATCGCAGCTAGAATACCCTTCACGAATGAAATAGCTTCCATACAAGAAATTGATTTTGACAGTTCAGTTATATCCTATAGTGGTATGCTCTGAAGAATATGTTCAGTTGTTATAGCGTGTGCTTTGATAATATTATTATAACCCAACGATTACCCTACTCCCGCCCACGTGCGGAATCAGCCGAGTCATAAGAGATAAGGAAGTTTTTAAACGTCAAGATCTAAAACTGCTCATCTACAGAAACAAAATTTCCAACAGCTTAAAATACGTTGTAAACCATTTTTACTATTTTAATTATTGAGAGAAAGCACTATGGTCTTTTTAATTTCGAAAAGTGAATCAGGTAGATCAAATATGCAGAAATGAGAATGCCAAGCACGACATATGCAACGGAATGATTTGTTACGTTCAACATTGGTCAACAAGATTTTAACAGTAGGGGTCTAAACTGCCTCATAAAGGCAACTTTCACTTTTCCTAGGCCCAGATGACTTTTCAAAATGGGTCTCACAGATCCTTCAAATATTCCAACTCCTACTGTTAGTCGTCGATTCTCAAGTCGCAATTGCTTTATTGATATGCTGATCACGAGTTGATGTTAATGACCACCCTGAATGCGGTGTGACGTCTAATTCCGCTTTCTCGACCCTCTTTGAACAATTTGTACCAATCAGAAAGATTTGCTCACGACAACTAATTGTCAGCGAAGACCCTTTCCAACATTTTGAACGTTTCGGAACTAGAAATTTGTTTCCGTACACAAAATTTAAAGGAACTTCTTTGTTGAATAATTTCACCTATCGCAAAAATCGTCGAATGCACTTTATGTACTTCAGAAAGACAAGCGTAAACTAAACAGTAATGATTATTTTGATGTGACATTTAGCACAGATGTCACTGACAGTCATACCAACCTACAAATTTTATATTTACATATATGAATGGGTTTTCGCGCGAAATTTAAATTAAAAAGTCTAACTGTGAAAATGTGTGGTGAAGTGAGCTTTGCTAAGAGATAGCAGTTCACTGGACCGCTTACATAAGTATATTCGAAACCTCACTGGTAGTGGTTGCTAACCAACGCTTGCTGAGCTCGTGGGGTCGAATGCACGAAGACGGCGACACTGCAACTCTTTCTCAACCTGATGGAATTTGGGTGTGGGTGCCATTTCCAATGATTTCGCAATAGCCAGGCATCCAGAAAAGTTTAATATGGAAGTAGCTTGTTGCTACTGCTAGTGAGGTCGTACACTCCTTGACTAGCTACGAGCCCATTGTCGGCAAGCGCAAGGCCTGTACAGCAGCCCAATTACGGGAGTAATCGCATACCCCAGTCTGAAATAGTAGTTGATTGAGAGCTAGCGACAGAAGACATCTGATCCAACCTTCCCTTTGAGCTACCTACTTACAAGAATTTTAGCCACCCAATATTGGTCGATACAAAAGGTGTAGTAATTTAAAAAAATTAAATACTTTCGTAAAACTTTAATGCTATCTAACACAGCATTACTGTGATAAGAATGTGTGACATATTGTATGTAAAGTCATTTCAGCATATACTTATACCATATTTTATGAATGAAATTGTGAGACGTTGTGAAAACGTTGTATCGTATATTTTAAACAAAATGTGATCATAGAAACAGACACACAGCTGGTATTGATTAGGTCCCTTATGTAACCATTAACGGTACCATCTTTGGAACACCATCTGCTTTCGCTCGAGCAGTGATAATGTCTTTTGACAGATGTTCACACTAATTGATTGTGTTTATGAATCATTGAGTGTGATACAACTTCCTTTGTTATCTAGAGATATTTCTAATGCACATGGCCGGCCCGAGACAATTTACCGGCTTAGTTAGATTTTTACCATATTTTGCTTTAACAACAAAATTTAAAACTTTTGAAAGTTTTAAAATCTTTTTATTAAAAAAGAAACGCAGATATTCCAAAGGTTTAGCAAATACTATCATTACCGTTTTCAACTTTGGCGCTTTTGAATTGAAGTTGAGGCAGTTCAACTCCAGATCTATCCGAATTTTTTTTGGTATTAAGGACTTCAACTATTTTCAACAACTTTTAAACGACAAATAAATATAATTCAATTAAGTTATAGCTCACGAAAAGATGCAAAATTTATTAAATGGACATGTTGTTCATCAAGCGCCAAATCTGGTAAAAGAGACATGAAAACAGGATCAGGATCGACACACACCAGCTCTACTTCGATTTTCGCAAGCCTTTGACAGCACCTTTATGCCGCAATATCTGAATTTGGTGTCCGCGCAAAACTAATACAGCTGTGCCAACTGACTTTGAGCAACAGCAAAGCTCCGTCAGGATGGGGAAGGCCCTCTACGAGCCGTTCGAAACAAAACGAGATTTCAGACAAGGTGGTTCCCTATCCTGCGACTTCTTCAATCTACTGCTGTAGAAAATAATTCGAGCTGCAGATCTGAATAGGGAAGTTATAATATTTTATAAAATGAGCCTATATGTACGAGCCGGCACTGCTATAGCATATAAATATGCATGTATGTATGTATGTATGATTCTGTGATTATATGTATAGTATTTTAGATGCCAAAAAAACAGCGCGTAGTCGATAGTTACGGAAATGAATGACAGTTTTCATTCAAAAATCAGCTTTATGACATACTATGACTTGTGACTAGACTAGACTTTATATTAATAGCAGTGTAGTAGTGATTAAGAAATGTCTGGATTTTATACTCAGTAGTATTATTACTATATACTATTTATATAATTATAAATAATATTTTACATATTTATATACAGTACATAAAAAGCTGTGTGGTAATATAACTAGGAGGCATAGTTAAATATGTTATAGTAATACATTTGAAGGCGTTTATTATCAATGAGGTGATGTTAGTTTGCAAAATTCTGTAAGACATTATACCATATGTATATATTTTTTTATTTTTTTGACCAGGTGTATATATGTATTTATATTAGCTTGTCAAAAAAGTCTTGCGGTATTTTTGCGATATTTTTTATTGAATTTTCAATTGTTAATAAAATTTTTTTGATGACTCATGCCCAGCTCTTGACCAATGCTACGGCTGGTACTATGACGGTCTCTTTCGACCAATTCAGCGATTTTATCGCAATTTTCGACGACAGGCCTTCCGGAGCGTGGCGCATCTTCGACCACCTCTATACCAGAACGAAAACGTTGAAACCATCGGTGTGCGGTGGAAATGGAAACTGTATCGGGTTCATAAACTGCACAAATTTTATTGGCGGCTGGAGATGCATTTTTGCCTTTATCGTAGTAGTACTGTAAAATATGCCGTATTTTCTCTTTATTTTGCTCCATGTTTGTGACGCTATAACTCGCGAACGACTTAAAAGAAACGACAATAAATCAAATACGTGTTAGTGTGTGAAATGTGCTTTCCAAAAAGGTATAGCATGACCCGATGCGACGAATAAAACTAGCACTACGCGCTCTCAGCGCCAACTAGCGAAAATGCCGCAAGACTTTTTTGACAATGTACTTTACTACATACATACATACAGACATACAAATGTGCATAAGTGTCTATTATTGAAGCTCATACTTTATTATACATACATACATATTTTATTGCTCACAGTCACACATCAAAGAAAATTTCAATTCACAGAAATTACAATAATTTAATTAGTCATTTCCAATTATTGCGACCCTTGATCTCCCAGAGTGTGAAGTTATGAAATATATTGGCATACTCGTATTTTAGACAAATCGCGGTTAAAAAATATTTGAATTCATATGTTTGTAAGTATAGATTTCTCAAATAATATTTATTGCGAAATTCGAACATGAAATTCAATACTGAAGACCACAATTAGATTTCGTCATTTTTGCGGTTTTGAAATTCGAATAAACTAACAACTGCTAAACAGCAAGTGATTGAACTATAATACGTTTATAGGCAACAACACAATTAGAAGCGAGTTTGAGACTGCAACTTACAGTTTTATGTATTTTTTAAATGTGACAGTTAGGAGTGTTAGCCGAAATCAGTTTGTAATCGCGGAAATCTGAGTTAAATATAACTTTAAAAATCTTCGTCACAAATACCTGAATAAAAATTAGGAAATGCCAAAAATCGGATTTAAATTTTATTTTTAATTAACGGATTGAACAAAAAAGGTTTGGTAACTTTTGAGAATGAAAGCTTAGTTTTAATAAAATATCAACATAAATT